ATCTACACTTTGTCGTCTATATTCTACCAGAAAATATTCTCATCTATACTTTGTGCTCTATATTATTTTAGGAAATATTCTCATCTACACTTTGTTGTCTATATTCTACCAGGAAATACTCTCATCTATACTTTGTGCTCTATATTATTTAAGGAAATATTCTCATCTGCACTTTGCTGTCTATATTCTACCAGGAAATAATCTCATCTACACTTTGTTGGCTATATTCTACAAGGAAATATTCTTATCTATACTTTGTGGTCTATATTCCACCAGGAAATATTCTTATCTATACTTTGTGGTCTATAGTCTACTAGGAAATTTTCTTATCTATACTTTGTGGTCTATATTCCACCAGGAAATATTCTCATCTACACTTTGTTGGCTATATTCTACTAGGAAATATTCTTATCTATACTTTGTGGTCAATATTCTACTAGGAAATATTCTTATCTATACTTTGTGGTCTATATTCTACCAGGAAATATTCTCATCTATACTTTGTGGTCTATATTGTACAAGGAAACATTCTTATCTATACTTTATAGTCTATATTCTGACGGAATTTTTTTAGTTATACTTTGTGATCTATTGTACCAGGAAATATTCTCATTTACACTTTGTGGTCTATATTCTATCAGGAAATATTCTCATCTACACTTTCTGGTCTATATTGTACAAGGAAATATTCTCATCTATACTATGTTACAATGTATCTATATTCTACCAGGAAATATTCTCATCTATACTTTGTGGTCTATATTCTACCAGGAAATATTCTCATCTACACTTTGTGGTCTATATTGTACAAGGAAATATTTTTCTACTATTTATGGTTTTTAATGTATATTAAAGTTGCCATGGATACTTACACAAGGTTGATATTTGACTGTCGTTCAACTACTGGTAGCATTGGAAACACTGCAACGACACCACAAGATAACATCCAGAAAAATACCAGTAACTAAAATATATATATATACATATAATCAAGACAAGGTAATAGTATGCAAGTTTGATAACCATGTACATTGATATCTCACAAGGAGAGAATCACACGTAGTGATTTTCCAACATTTAAAAGTGATCTCATACCATGCTTATAGATTGAACAGCTTTCCAACCAATAGCATTACAGAGCACAGTGGACAATGGGAAAGGTTTGAGTGATGTTGTGATAAGCAAGCCAAAACAGTTTGAAATGAACATGACCCAATTATTTGCCACTTTGCATCTAAAACATCTGGTTTGAAACTTACCTTATTTGATTGTCGCAGTGATGTCATTAGAGGAAATAAACCTATCCCTAACAAACCAACAGACATCAGTTCTCTATAGAAAAAACTTAGAACCAATATTTCAACACTGACTGCACCAATAATACAGTAACCAATCAGCATCAAGTACCAATGATTAAGTGAAAGATAATTAATGACATCATAGATCACTTGATAACTGTAAACAAATAGTAAGTATATGTAAATTTATATTGTCAACGATTTTTTAAAAGCACTATAAACTTTGAATATCAATAAATCTATTTTGGGGTTTGTGAGCTATCCTGACAAAAACCTGGCAAGTTATTAGTTTCATAGAATGAGTGACCAAATACATATTTATTAAACGTGTGTTATAATTTTCGACACTCATTTTATAAATATGATATTACACAGTTTTGATATCTATTTATCACATGTATGCATTTTCAGGTGTTTTACCAGCAGAAACATTCATAATTGTTATTTGTGTGTGAGCGTCGTCAGTGTCTTAGCACATTTATTTATTAATTTGCACACAGTTCTCTGAACTTGCTTTGCGGCCAGTATAATGACTGCTATTAACAAAATTACTCAATTTTGGATCCATCAATGTATATATTTATGATAATATTAGCTACAGTGTGAGCTAGTTCTATCAGTGGTCTTCAAGCATCTTAATAGTAAATCTGCAAGCAGTAGTGGCATTTCAGTGCAGAGAGCTTGGGAGAATTAGAAACAACAAAATCCTCAAATGGGATTCAAAGCGAAAATGCACGGTGAATGCATAATATTATCGGTATATAGTTAGAACACACAAATAGTTTTTCTATTCATTATTCACTGACGATCCATGTGATAGTTACAATG